CAATTTGTTTCTCGATCTCCTTTTTATCATCAACTGTGGTTCGATATGGCCTTTGCTGCAATATTTCTCTTCTAATAAATTAATGTGTGCTTCATAATCTCTCACTGTCCCTACATCATATTTGTCTTATGCAAAGACAGATTTGTTTTCACATATTAATTCATTTATTATTGATTGTTGATCACAATCTAAATGGTCTATCTATATGAATTTTAAAATTCGTCAGTTCAAAATGTTCGTCTAAATTTATTAAATATTTATTTTTCATTTCATTCGAACTATTAATTTCATTTGTTTCCTTAGAATCAAATTTTATTTGCTGATTATTGTCTCTTTTTTTCTTATTGTCAAAATTTTCTAAAAGTTTTTTTCCAATTTCCGTAGATGCCTGAATAGGCATTTTTGACTTATTTGCAAGTTTTCGTTTTCACACAAATAGATTTTGTTTTGCAGTCTAAACCAATTAAAAAATCAAAATCAAAATGTCACAAAGACAATCACAAAGACTTCTGTCTCTTTTTGAACCAGAGTCATATACTCCAAAAAGTTCAATATTTTTATTCAATACTAATTTTATTTTTATTAATGGCAGTATTAATAGTTTTTTGGATTATCATTTTGTAGTTCATATCCTAATTCTGAGCTTATGACAAGTTTTATCCTCTTTATTAGTTTGATTATCCTTTGGTTTGAACCAACAAGTTGATTCAAGATGGTAGCGCGTTCCTTTTTTTAAGTTTTTCATAGATGGTACATTTATGCTCTTGCTCTCTGTCCAATCTTTGTTTGTTTCCCTGGACGATCCGAAATTTCATGAGATAAATGAACCCGACTTAGGATCAAGTGCGAACGTTGTTGTCATACTTTGTCGAATAATACCTTGTAATGAAAATTACAGAGTATATTTCGATAATTTTTATTCTTCTATACCTTTGATGGTCTACCTATTGCATCGTGGTATTTACTCGTTGGGAACGGTAAGACGATCGAGATTACCTAATTTAGCTACCTTCTGACCAGCAACTCAAAAAGAATCAAGAGGATCTTCTCATGAATTCGTATGTGATATTGATGGTGTTAAGATATCTTCAGTAATTTGGCTGGATAATAAACCTGTTACATTCCTATCGACATATAAAGGTAAAAAGCCACTAACTGACGCCAAACGTTGTAACGTACGTAAGTACGTTAGCGTTGAATGTCCAAGTTTGGTTCCTGAATATAACGTTCATATGGGTGGAGTTGACGCTATGGACAGTTATATTCGTCGTTATAAGATAAAGATGCGGACAAAAAATGGTAACTCCGGTTATTTTATCACCTCTTTGATATGACTATTGTCAACAGTTGGCTCATCTATAGAAGATGTTTTATACTTCAAAATAAGAAATGTTTAACTCCGAAATAGCCCAATGTTTATGCAAGGCTAACGTATTAATTTTTCATTGAAACGAGGAAGACTTTCTGATCAAAACATTGAGAAAATGTTGGAAAAAAAAGAAGAAAATCGGCATCAGAATTGACTCCATTGGTCACTGGCCTACATATGATAAAGCCAGAAAAAGGTGTAAATTACCAACCTGTAAGTCAGTCTTTTTCATAAAATGTTCTAAATGTGGTGTACAACTTTATTTAAACAAAAAAAAAACTGCTCTGTCAACTTTCACGAGAACTGAGTTTGTCCCTTTGGTGCGCAATGTAACATATCTGTCACATTTTTGTATATAATAAACTATTTGTACATTTTTGTTATATATTCCTTGTTTTGTAGACACAATTACATTGTCCAGATTTTTCTGTAAACGAAATAAAAAATTGTGCAGTGTAGGGTTAACCTACTCAGTCCCAGAAAATGTTTTATTTTCTATATTTCGGTGTGTTTTATGTTTCATTAGGCATCAAGATACGAAAAAAAAAATAATAAATTTTTTTTTATGGCAGCCACCTTTAAAATCCAAAGTCTCCTATGAGCGACATTGGGTTTCTAGATAATCAAAAATTCTTCAAAAAGTCATTTGTGTTTTATGAGTAACATAGCCATGATTTTTTATGAATACATCGGAAATAAATATACAACATTAGTTATATCATTTATTAAGTAATAAAATATGATATGGTAATATGATAAATAAAAAATAACTGGTAGATAATAATGCACTGGTGTCAGTTCATTCACAACCTTGATGCTGTTTCGGTTTTCTTGGAGGCAGAGACACCTGACATGTAAAACATAGATTCTGGCTGAGTTGACGCACTGGTCATAGTTCATGGTATAGCTTGAAGCAGTTTCTGTTTTCTTGGGTGCAGAGGAATACCTGGCATGTAGAACACCTGATTCTGGCTGAGTTGGCTGAACATCCTAGCAGTCGGCATCTATTCTTCTTGGCTGGGGTTGAGATTTCTGGTAAATGCAAAGTGTGCTTTTTACGGAGCAAGTCTGGAGGGTGAGATACCCTAGGTTGCTTCCGAGGAGGGGACAAGGAACACTCATAATCTGGATTACTATCCTCCGAGCTCTCCTGATAACCATGGGATAGGCAATATGCATACTCTTCTTTAAAACTGAAGAGATCCATAATATCTTTTCTGTGGGCTCCTAAAAGTCGCTGATCTCGTCGGTATTTGATCCATGATGCTGAAATTGCGAAGTAAAACATATGCATGATAACTCTGACTGTCCATTTTCTAGTGCGCGCAGAAGTCCTGTAATAACTTATCATTAAACATTGGTATTGTAAACCTTAACTATCAGAGGCCTGTTGACTTCAATGAACCTTTTTTGTATTTTACCTTCTACACTTATCGACAGGTTGTGAGCTCTCTCATTTGACATCAAAATTACGGCTTTATTATCAAACCATTTTACAACAGACATTTGCCCGTCTGATCTTATACTCTCATTAATTGCCCCTACCTTCTTTTTTCAAATCAGTATCACTTTTAGCTTGGAGCTCTTGGGTATTCTTATTTGTTTCAAAGTGCCAGTACCTCTAGCTTCTCTTTCTGAATGTAATAAATCTAAAATATGTTCAGAAATTAAAATATCTATCCATATAAACATCTAAAAGCTTGAAACGGTCATCATCAACTATAGGGTCACCTTTCCTGGTAAAAGAAAAAATCCAGTGGCAGTCCATCTGCAGCGGCTACGACAAAATTTTTCAACCCACATGGATTGGGCTTTGTTTTGATTACTTGTCTGGCTGGACAATGCCCCCAGAAAGGAATCATTTGTTTGTCTATAGCTACTACTTGATGATTTGGTTTCAGCAAACAACCTGTTTTAACTGACCTGATCAGAGGTTCTACTTTCCAAAACTTGTTGGTGTTCTTTTCTTCATCCTCATCCATCAACACAACCTTCAGATTCTTTTATATACAAAAATATTTATCCCTTCGCATGAATTTACTTATACATTCTGCTTTGGTTTTTCGGGCCCAATATATCCTAATCCGAGGATATTCCATAATAGACATCATCAAACTTGCTGAAAAAAACTTTTTTACATCTTCCACACCATCCAAAAGAACTTTCCCAGTTTGTTCCACATACGTTCTGTTTGACTGTTGTAAAATAACTCTGAAAATACTCTAGGAATATACTTGCTAACATAAGCATCAGGTGGAAGATTTACAGCATTTATTCCTAAAGGAGTATTATCTCGTGCTGGAAAGCATGGTTCAAAATCTGAGTTTTTTTTTCCGGAAGAATCTTTCACTGCTACTCACGGCTTGTGTAATTAGAGTGTTGTCTTCGCCAGCAGTGCTATTAGAAGCCGTCCTGTTTAAAGTAATTACCCCAATGTCAGTGGCCTCCTGCTGTGGTAGCCATGTTGGATCTGCATCCAAGTCATCATCATCGCTGATGTCCACTTCACTGTTATCTCCATCAAAACACAGAAACTTGAACATGGAATTGGTCAGTCGGGACAGTCCGCCATTTTTACTTCTCCTTAAACTGACATCCCAAAAAAATTCCTAAACAAAGCATGTTTTATGTCGCGTGTAGACGACGCTGGGACTAAGGATGTTAATATGGGAACTTATAAAAGCATGTAGATTATGATTGTTTGACAACTAACAAGGAAGGGGCTTGTAATAAAAAAAGGAGTACAAATCGGGAAAAGTATTTCACATTTATATATCTTTATAAAGCATATGAAAATTTAATTGACGGCTCCCTATATAAACGACCTTCGTATTCAATTCATCGAACACCTTTATACCAAAGTATTGAACCGAGTTTTTTTAGGTTTTTTAGGAACCGTGCTTTGTCGGTATACGTGCAGTATAGATACATCTACAACGTATCTCGCATCTACAATTGCCGCCGTGGAATTTTTTATCAAAGCCGAGAAAGTAAAACACTCATTTTCGCTAGAACGCGTCTCCGAAAATCAAGTCGTATTTTATACACTCCACGAACTGGAGTTTCCTCTTTTACTTTTTCCATTTTCTCGGAAAAGCTATACAGAACACACTTTTCACGGCAAATAAACTGCACGAGACGACGTTTTTTTAACAGATTTAAGAACACGATCCTGCATAAAATTTCGTTTAGAGGTAATATAAGGGGTTAGGTACTGTTTTAGGGGTGAAACAAAAGGTGTTACTTCAGTCATGCATCGTTTTTCTTAGTGAGATTTGATGACGGTGCGGTGAGGATGAGGTAACCATTTTCTTTCACTTCTAACAGAATATATTAGTCATTTTATTTTCAAGAAGCAAAAAAGTTGCTGTTTAAAGTAAAAACATTGAAACAACTAAATTCTAAAAGCAATGTCAATTTTGATAATTTATTATATATAATAATTGTAAAACTGTCTTGGACAATTTCAGTACTAATATATGAACAGAAAAAACATCTGACTCATCCTGACCCGCATCATTAGTTTGTTCTTTTAAAATCACACCCCTACATACACAAAAATTTATGTTATATTGTTATACACACCCCTTTTATGTTGTTCCTCAATAAAACCATTGTTTTTGTCCGACAGTACGAAAAGACTTGAAATTGCGGCTGCAGTTCAGGTTTTTTAATCACAGAAAAACACCCCTAATTAAGTGAAGGTACCTATAGAACAACATTTCAGCATAACACTACGATGTTCTCCACATTTGTCGACAGATGGATCCCGTTTGTGTGGGATCCGGCGTAAATGTGGGGAATATTGGACGAAGCTATTATCGTTTGAGTTGACGCAAGCTCTTCAGTGCTTAACTAACATATACAAGGTGATATTATAACGCTGGTACGATGATTTTGTATAAACATAAGAATCTTCTGGTATAACTATACTATAACAGGAGAATAATATGTTTTGATCAGTATAGTTGTAAATATATACAAAATACGCTAACTTTGACATAATGCAGTTCCACTGGGAGAAAGACTGTTGCTATTATAAATTTCTTTGGTAGAAACAGATAAAAATTAAAATTGGAAGTGCACAGGATATCAGAAATTAGAGTTACACAACTGAATAAGTCCTAGGTTTTCGTCGATTGCGTACAACTTTGCGTTCATTGATATACGATTTCACCAATTATGAGTCATTTTAGTCAAACTTCTGGTCCTAACTTTTTGATCGGAAGTGTTATAAAACCTGGAGTATATATTTGTTTACGTGTTGCTAAGGCGCTTCGAATGCTTGTATTATTTCGGCGACTTTAAAGCAGTACTTCCGGTTGCAACTCTGGAACCGGAAATCCGAGGTCAAATGTCTCACTTTTAATACCATCTTTGTATAAGCTTTCATTCGATACCTCCCTGGTTATTCTATCTATTCTAATGACGGAGGAGTTGTGTTTATGGACGGACAGACAGACATGGATAATTCAAGGTTTTCACCATTTTTTTTTTTAATATAATATGGGTGAAAACAATTTAAGCTTACACTCTCAACAGTCTCTTTCTTACAGCGGTTAACAGAGTTTCTTTCAACGCTTTTTTAGAACAATATTTTCGTTGGTCTTAAAATATGTGGCAATTTCTACGTAAATTTTTGTTCCTGGACTCCGCTGGGAGCTATCTTCGAAGAACAAGTGGGATGACCTCGCCAATCGATATTTGGTGTTTTGTTCACTCTTGACGACTTTCATTGAAAGATAACTTCTTGTGTGGCTTTCCACACCACTATACTACACTGCAGATGTAGTGGTATATCTCGATACAAGCCCTTTCCATTATAAATATCGACTAAGGGAGATTGGCTTAGGTAAGATATAAAGTTCTAGAACTCCCTAAGTTGAGCAAGCATAGAGCTTCGGTGAAAACGCGCCATTGAGTCCTGTTTTGCGTGAAGGCCTTCACATCGTTCCAAAACTTTCATCGTTCATAATTGATCTCCAAGATTGTGCTGGGCGTCCTCTTTTTTCTTGGAGTTTCCAATCTAGGGCAGTCTTTGCAAGACAGGAGCTATTTTTACGAAGTATGTGGCTGATCCAACCCCACTTTCTGTACTTTATTTCATTCTCTATCCCTTCTGTTCGGTCTGGTGTAGCACATCTTCGTTTCTGATGACATTAGACGAAAAAAATACGATCAATTCTTCACAGACATTTATTAACAAAAACGTGCAATTTTTCTATAAAGTTTTTTCTCTCTTTTCTGGTTTCACATCCGTAGATTAAAACAGACTTACATTCGACTAAAATATTCGGATTTTTATCATTGTGGTATACTGGTCAGACCTCCAAATGGGGCTCAGAACTTTTCTTATTCTTATACTTATGTATGGTACTTCCAAGATATGTAAAATCTCGATCTACGAGTTTTTAATACATAGTAAATATTATGTTATTTTTTGCATTGATTCTCTTGGATTTAGTTTTATTAATATTGATTTTCAAACCCATTGTATTGGCTTTAGTTGAAAGTGTTGCCAATTGGTCAGTCACATCTTCTGTAGCAAAATCTTAAGGGCTTAACAAACCCTTAACTCATAAGGTATCGAATCCTTGGCGCATTCTGGTATCTTGAACTATTCTGCTAACTCATGAACCTTTAATTTCTTCTTGTTCATGTGCCATCTCCTCTAAGAAAGTTGGCAACCATCATGGCAATTCGCACTTTCGATACCACTGCTCTAAAGAGGTCAGCAGAAGTGCAGTTAAACCAAGCTCTCAAATTGTTTAACCAGGAGATGCGTCTTCTTCCGCGACTCCTTCTACCATGTATTATGCCTTTCATTATTAATTGCCACAAGTTATAACGCTCGCCCTCTCATTCTTCTCAACACCTCGACATTCGTGACTCTATCCACCCAACTTATTCTTAATATCCTTCTGTAGGCCCATAACTCGAAGGCTTCTAATCTGTCCGAAACATCTTTCTTTAATGTCCAAGCCTCCAACCCATAAAATAATACGGAGAACACGTAGCATCTCAGAAGTCTTATCTTTAAAGAAATTGAAATGTCCCTGCTGCAGAGTACTTTTTTCAGTTTGTTGAAAGAATTTCTTGCCTGTCCTATTCTTGCCTTAATCTCTTCTGTGTACTCATTATTTTCGTTAATTATTGTACCCAGATATTTATATTTTTCAACTTTTTTAATTTGTTCTCCATGTATTGTTATGTTTTCTTGGCGCTGTTGGGCTTTTGTAATTACCATAAATTGTGTCTTTTTTGTGTTTAGGGACAGTCCGTTTACTTCACTGACTTCTACCACTCTGTCAACCATTTGTTGTAAATCCTCAAGACATTCCGCTAATAAAATAGTGTCGTCGGCAAACCGTATATTATTGATTAGTCGGCCATTTACTTTTATTCCCATAGTTAGTTCTTCTAGTGCTTCCTGGATTATCTCCTCTGAATACAAATTGAACAAAGTAGGAGACAGGACACAGCCCTGCCTAACGTCCCTCTAAATCTGTATTCTAAATCCAAATTGTGTGTCACTTATGTATTAGTTTGTTGTGTATTCTCCGGTGTATAATTTTTATAAATATTTTGAGCGTATGACTCATTAAACTTATTATCCGGTGGTGTTGGCATTCTTTTGCATTTGGTTTTTTTGGTAGTGTTATGAATGCTGACATCAGCCAATCTCAAAGAATGATTCCTGTACTGTATATTGTATTGAATAAGTCGACCAATATTCCAATTGGTTGTTCTTCTATTAACCGTATTATGTGTACAAGTATTTCGCCAGGACCTGTTGCTTTGTTGTTCTTTGTTCGCTTTATCGCCTCTAATACCTAATCTTCTTTAATTTACACTAGGAAAAAACGATTTTATGGATTTTTTGATATTTCAATGATGATGCTGTAGAACCAGAGCGTACAGCATCATTCGCTTCTCTACAACCACGTTTTAAGTCAACATTATACCTATTAACTGTTGTTTTGAATAAAGCAAATTTCAAATGTATCAGCAGTTTTTGCTGAACAATATTTCCCATCAGCAATGCTTTACAATACACCCTATTAAGATGTTCCCGTTATTCAAATGAATAATCCCATTATTTAAATGATTACTTACTTACAATCTGCTCTAGAGCACTAAAATTTACTGCCCATCATCAGGTCCCCGATAAGAGTTTACATAACAGCTAAAAAAATTACGGTTGTTAGTGTAAATTATTCCAATTATACTTAATATTGGCATATCTTTGTCCACGTGGTCTAAAACATACAATTGTTATTTGAGATAACGTGTAGAGATCTACAAAATATTCTTTGTCGTTCGCCATTTAACTGTATTCTTTTGAACGTAGAGCTTATTGTATATATTGTTTATAAATATTGGAAAATTGAAATAAAACAACAAACACGTATCAATAATACACCTTGTATAGTTATAATCGATGTTTTATTTACAAAATATGAAGAAAAGCTAACATGCTTCAAATAATAATGGATGGGTTTTTATTTTAAGTAGTAATAACATAATATTTTATTTTAACCATGATTCTCTCTATACAAATATGTTTTCAACTCTACGGAGTATCCCAAACTGTTTGAAAAGTTCTTGATACCAAGAGCTACGAAAAAATGTAACTCAAATGCACGAGAAAAGGTGTAATAATATTCCAAGATGTTTATAGTGAAATAGTACACCCAAAAACACAACATATAAAGCATATTTTTAACCTGTTTAGGTATAAGATATAATCAATAATGAAAATTGTATGTTTTTAACTAGAATTCAATTAATACATTAGATTGTTATTTTTTTTTTACTTTTTCTTGCAGCTCTTAATGTATTCTACCGCAGTAGGAACCACTATCGGTATTTTTGAATGTTCCAATAGTGCAATTTGTTGTCTAGGATGCTTAAGTTCAATTTATATAAATATTATACTGACGAGTAAATAGTTTAATGGCAGTGTCCACTTGTTCACTTCTTGATATAAAAAATAATAAAGAATTTACAATTTTTTATAGAGAGCGGTGCATTTTGCATAAGAAAACATAAGTTCACATAGTCTTATTTTTGATTATTTGTTTTTGAGTAAACCTGATCAAATATTGATAAGTAGTTATGTTATAGTAAATCAAGGTCATTTTTTCTTTTGGTTTTTGAATAATTGATCTTTGATAAAATGAAAGCAGATATCGAGCATAATTTTATTAATTAAATCTTGCCCAAGTACTTTCGCTTCCTAGAGCATCTTCAGTATCATCCGTCAGGGGTATTTCGTCAAAAAACGAAATGCCCCTGATTATGCTTTAAACAGCGAAAGTACTTGGGCAAGATTTAATTAATACAACAGTGCTCGATATCTGCCTTTCATTTTATGAAAGTTCACTGAAAGTGAAACTACACTGACAAAGCTTTTTTATTTGTGTGTCAAACAATAATATCTACCATATCTATAGTAAATATCTTCTTGAAAGTGTCGCTTATTGAAAGTGTTACGGTACTTCGATGAGGACCACTTTGCTGACGCAATAGATTATGAGATGCAGTTTGATGTTGATGAAGCGGCGTTTTATTCCATACAGTTTTATCTTTGGCTATGTAAGTGCATGGTGTTTCCATTGCTGCTGCTTGATCCTCTCTATCACTTTCTCCTTCTTCCTCTCTCTCTTCTTCG